TGGCGAACCCTTCAGTCCCATCCTCGGCCATGTACTTCGATTCCAACGCATCCCATAGTTCCTTTGCGGATTCGACATTTTGATAGACATCAAAGAGAGAATCAGACATACCGTTGAGAATGTGGCCACGACATATGTAGTCATCGTTTTCCCACTTAAGTTGCTTCCTTGTCTCCTCCACGGACTCGTTCTCACCATTCTCCGACACGGTGGGCATTGGCACACTTAGAACGTGAACCACATTGAGCGTTGTGAGGAGAAAGTGCATCTTCTTTTGCCATCTTCTAAAATCAACTCCTTCAAACTTATCCAATTTGCCAAACTTTGACGTCATCTCACGCACAGAAACATTAGCCATTGTTCACCGTAAATACTCTTTAAGATTGTTGTGTATCGACGTTGTATCTCCGGGACGTAACGAACGTGAACTTGGATAGAGATTGAATCGCGCACGAGAGCACTTTCCTTAAAGAGTATTTCGACCCTTCTCAAGCCTTGGGTTACACGAAATCCCTTCTAGGATAAGACAATCAAAGTTCTCTCTTGTTCTAGGCTAAGACACAAGAGAAACAAATAGAGCTTTTTGTGTTTTGTTTTTGTGTTTTGCACTAAAGATTAAGACAATCTTTAGTCTCGTGAATCTCTCTTTTCTCCTCTTCTTATCTTTCTTTGACACAAGAGAAACAAAGTTTATATATGGTTCAAAAGTTGTGACGTACGTTTGCAACCGTACGTTTAAATAATAACCATAAATTGAATAGTTGCAATGGTTAATTTAATAACCGTCGGTTTACACTTAAATTTATAACACATATGTGGTGTGCACTCGAAGACAAACAAATTTCACGAGATGTTTTAATTTATATATGTGATAAGCTGCCATGGATAAAGCTCCATGAGGTCCCTGATGGTGGACATTACATTATCCATGAGAAGCGGCATTTCGAAGCCATTATCAAAGCCGCTTGTAGTAATGAAATATAAGAACAAAAAAACTCTATAAGATTTGTATATGAAATCAGTTTGAGAAAATTATGGCTATGTAAGTTTCATGTGACAAAGAAAATTGTCTAATCTATTTAGACTAATGTATAAATGTAACTACTTTTGAGTATGGGAGAGAGTCGGATGGAGACACATGAGAATGAAAGGTAAAGAAGTTGACCCAGAAGTGTAACTTAAGTCCTCACTTATTACGGCATTTGGGTTTTGTGATTTGGGCCTTAGTCCTTTTCGATTGAGGGTATTTTAGTCATTTCATATAAACCGACAAACCGGTAAAAGCAAAATGTTTTTCCCACTAAAAGAGTAAAAGACTTTAAAATAAAACACTAAAATTAAATCATCAAAATCTCTAAAATCAAAATTGGCATTTTCTCTCTCGAATTCTCGCCGGAGAGATGCAACGGTTTCTTCTACCTTTACTCTTCCTTACACTATCGCCGCCGGCGATTTCTCATTACTCTTCCTCAACCTCTTCTCCTTCTTCTTCATCCGTCTCTTCCGACGCCTCAGAATGGCGTCCAGCTCGAGCCACCTACTACGCCGCTTCTAATCCTCGAGACGCGGTGGGTGGTGCGTGTGGATACGGAGATCTCGTCAAATCTGGGTACGGTATGGCTACTGTTGGTCTAAGCGAGACTCTGTTTGAGCGTGGTCAGATCTGTGGTGCTTGTTTCGAGCTCAGATGTGTTGATGATCTCCGTTGGTGTATCCCTGGAACTTCAATTATTGTCACCGCTACGAATTTTTGTGCTCCTAATTACGGATTTGATCCAGATGGTGGTGGTCATTGTAATCCACCTAACAAACATTTCGTGCTTCCGATCGAAGCGTTTGAGAAGATCGCTATTTGGAAAGCTGGGAACATGCCGGTGCAGTATCGCAGGTGCGTTTTTTTCCAATTTGTTTCGCGTTTTGTGAGAAATGCGTTTGCGGTGGTGGGAACGCGGTTCTGCTTTTTGACGCCACTATCGATTTAAAAAATCCGGCGATGCTTTTGCTTTTGTGTGTTTGCGTCTTCTTCGATATCCGTGTGCTTTATTATGTGAGATGGGCTTACCCTAAATGTCGTCCTCAATACGCAATTTACATTATTGCCCCTGATTGTTTTATTTGAGTTGTTGTAGTGTTAGTGTGTGTACAAGTTTCTGAGAAATGGTAGATAGGTTTGAATTGGTGGCAATATTGTAGTGTATATGAATAGTTTTTGCTCATCATAGTTGAGTAGCTAGCTTTCCTCTCGTTTTCATTTTTGCCATGAGAGAAAGAAGATGGAATTTGGAAACCAATGATAGGATTGAAACTGACTGTTATTGGTTTGTGAAGTGGTTTGGAGCTGAGCTTGTAAATAGTTTCATATCACTTAAGTTATGACTTACAACCATTGTTGTTGGCTTTACCAAAACAGGATCAACTGTAGAAGGGAAGGGAGCATGCGGTTTACAGTCGATGGTGGAGGCATTTTCATTTCGGTTCTGATCACCAATGTTGCAGGGTCCGGTGATGTAGCTGCTGTGAAGATCAAAGGGTCGAGAACCGGGTGGTTACCTATGGGTCGTAATTGGGGACAGAATTGGCATATCAATGCTGATCTCAAGAACCAAGCTCTCTCATTTGAGGTAACTTCTAGTGACAGGTCAACTGTGACATCTTACAACGTCTCCCCTAAAAACTGGAATTATGGACAGACCTTCGAAGGGAAACAATTTGAGACTCCGTGAGACAGAGACGGGTGCATTGAGATATCTCATGATTCTTTTTTCCGGGTCAGAATTTTTTGATGGCAAGTATATCGATCTTGGTCTAAGGTTATCTTTAGGGTTAGAAAGGAATGAACTTGGGTCAGACTTTTGCATTTCATAGTTCTCTCTCTCCCACGCATAGGTACAAAAACCACCAATGTACTAAGAACAGTGATTACACAAACATCACTATTGTATCTATTTGTTTACATTACTAAGGAGCGAAAGCTTCCTTTCAAATGCTTAAAGCTAATGATGCGCATTGAGTCTTATCATAAAAAGAATGCAAAAGGGTACTGTGATATAACAAGAATCAGAATAACTAAAGGTGTTATAATCTCAAAGTCAAAAGATATTAAACCTATTATAGCCAAGAATGTAAGTTCACTTACTTCCAATGTGAAGATCACTCAGGCCAAAAGGATCACCGTGTGTTGTAAAATTCCTATGAACATCCCACTTCTCTTAAAACTCTACAAGAGAACCCCTAACAGAAAAAGGAATAAACAAAAAACCGTGTCAAGAACTCATAAAGTTTGATGAGATTCAATAAGCAACGCATTGAGCATGACATGGACAGCGGCATCATAGACCGCAGAGTCATAATGCATCCCGTCAAGTGTACATTGCGGTCCACAGTTCCATGTGAAGGACTGGATATCAAGCAAGATAAGAGGACCGCCCATTTGGCGCAAGATCTTACTCTCCCCGAGCGATCTATCATACTCATGCCACACGGTATCACTCATCTTCTCCTTCTTCTCATCCGTATTCAACATCCCGTTGATCAAAACCGGCATCCCAATCCAGAACAGATGCACAGATCTACCGGAAACCGATCCGCCTCCTTCTTGCTCCTTTGGCGTAAAGGGCACTAGAGACTCCACATGACTACTCAATTCCTTCAACCGAAAACCGAAATCCGAAGCATTGTTCACATGAAGCATATGCCATAACCCAGTTCCCATGATCGCAACATCAGGATACTTTTTCATCTTCGTATAAGATACCACAAGATCATCCAAATCTTTCTCATAAGGAGCCCACACAAAATCTAGCTTCATCCCAATCTCTTTAACCACAATGCTGTAATCACTATGTCTCTTAAACAGATCACCTCTAACCGAATCCATAGCCTTGGAATCCGAACCCAAAACAAGATTCAACAACGACAAAGCCACGAATCTCGCCTGAGAATCACCAGCAACAACAACCCAAGATCCATTCAACAAATCCGAAACATCAAACTTATCCAATTTCTGAAACTCACAACTCAAAACTTTCCTCGATTTAATCCAATCCCAGTTCTTGTCGAAATAATCAAGCTTTGTCGAGCCATTATTTCTACGAACAGAATCCGGATTCGTGACCGGTTTAACATCCCAGACAATCTGATTCACCTCGTTAATACAAGAGATACGATGATCGTAGACAACAACAGACGAAACAGAGGCAACGATGTCGGAAACGGAAGGGAAATAAGGCGTGAGGTGAACACAAACCGCGAGAGATATAAACAAAGCGCCACTAAAGAAGAGCATCTTGTTCCTGCTCAGATGCCAACCAGCCATTGCCATGGGAACGAATAGGACGAAACAAGCTGCTAATACCCCGAAATGAATCGCTCCCAGCATCTCTCAGGTTTCGGAATCAGACACATCTAGAATTCCATCTAGACAAACAAAACCAAAATTTCATCCAGATTCGAATTAAACTTGTCTATAATTTAAGAAGAAGCTAGGGTTACGAATTTGGTTTGGTGAAGAGAATCCATCCAAATTGAAGGCGAAGATGAAAATTTGGTGAGATTGAAAGGAACAGAACAACCGTAGGCTTCTTCTTTGGTTCGATTTTTTTGTTTTTAACATTTCCATATTTGTAAGATCTCCATTAATTTATCTCTCGCAGACATGGTTCGGCTCACTGTAGCCTGAAAATGGAACTGGGAACTATTCTAACGTGCGCTCACCGCTGGGTATCACGTGACCGCTTGTTGACTGATCATAAGTTACTCGGCCCACGGGAAAGCCCATTTAGCCCACAAATCGCAACACTAGAAGACCACTTTCTCCATGTTTTATTATCAAATCAATCGTGCGATTTCATCTTGGAATGACATTAAGTCACTTGGGGATCTTGTAGACTCCGAAATTTCATAATAATTTCAACCTATTTTTACATATTAGCTTTTAATCTTTAACAAAAAAAAAAATATAACTGATTACTTTATCATTCTAACTAAATTTATATATTTATGCCATGATATCAATCTAAAGGTAGGGCTAATCATAGGACTAATATATGTTATTAGTTTATAGAAATGTGTGTGAACGTTAGAAAGAAATAAGTAAAGAACCAAAAGATGGATTCATGTGAGGGAAATGTGTCAAGAAGGGTATGTACTATGTACACATTGTATATATATGTAGATATATTAAAGATATGTATATATGGTGATACATAGAAGAAAGAGAATATGGAATTTGGAATAATGAGAGAAAAAGGTTATGACGATGATGAGAAAGGCTGAGAAGTGATTCTCTTGGGTTGGCCCATCAACAGCTTCCAAGGATTTATTCACATGTTCACAACTGCTGGATCCCACATGATGATACATATAACCATCTAAACCCCATATGCTTTTTTCAAATTTTATATACATATATCTGATCCATTTTTTCATATGTCCCAATTTTAGATAAGTTTTATAGCCTACGCCAAATGTGAATATGTTCATTTGATTATAATTTCTTATATCCATAAGTCTTTGGAGTACGTATAATTGGACTTTCGGTCAATATTTTTTCTATATTGGAACAAAAGTTTTGGTAATTTATTTGACGGAACTAAATATGGGGAGGAAAGGATTTCTGGCCACTCAATTTTTTTGTTTTTAGTTTCAAAATCTCTGAAATTTCAATTTTTTCCGAATCAAAATTAACAGCATAATATCACTAGAAAATATATGAATGTTGATGGAACGACCATAAAATGGAGTTCAACTTTCTAGTCGAGCCATATAAGCTACGATGCAAAATGAATATATGAGAAACAGAAAAAGACAAAATAAAATGACAAAATAAAATGTAAAACGCTACTAGTATAAATTTACAACATTAAGATAAATATTTTTAAAAAAGATATATGTACGTAGATCGGATGGCAATGTGAAGGAAAACAAAGGATTGGCATGCAAGTGGGTACAAAAGAGACAGTTATTTCAGTTAGAAGTGCCGCCAAATAACAAAAAAAAAAAAAAAAAAAGCAAAAAAAAGAAGAAGAGATTGCAACAGTTTTGGGTTAACCCAAGATTCGATCTCCCATGCAACCAATAGAATTCTGACACGTGCACGTATATTCCAGACCGACCACTCTCGGAGAAGCATGGGATAATTGATGAAGCCACTTGATG